TGCTGACCATATTGTAGAATCTGCTGAAAAGTTAGATATATAGAGAAAAATATATTTAAATGCTACGAAATAGTTACTCATTATGCAAATTTAATATATTTTATAAAATTTTGTCGACATTTAATTAAGTAAAAACACTGCTGACCAATTTAATGTTAATTCAAATTGATTTAAGCCGTAAAACTCTCTTATTCTATATGGTCAGCAAATTTAACGCTCTTTACATTCAGGCGAGAAAATGCTGACCAGTTAAACATATAGTAGAATCTGCTGACCAGTTAGATATATAGGGAAACTGCTGACCAGTTAGATATATAGAGAAAAATATATTTTGCCGTGAAATTGTAATTCATTTTATAATGTATGCAAATTCATATATATTTTATAAAATTATGTCGACATTTAATTAAGTAAAAACACTGCTGACCAATTTAATATTATTTCAAATTGATTTAAGCCGTAAAACTCTTCTTATTCTATATGGTCAGCAAATTTAACGCTCTTTACATTCAGGCGAGAAAATGCTGACCAGTTAAACATACAGTAGAATCTGCTGACCAGTTAGATATATAGGGAAACTGCTGACCAGTTAGATATATAGAGAAAAATATATTTTGTCGTGAAATTTTAATTCATTTTATAATGTACGAAATTCAATATATTGTATAAAATTTTGTCGGCATTTAATTAAGTAAAAACACTGCTGACCAATTTAATATTAATTCAAATTGCAATTATTGCTTTTGAAAATACATTTTTTTTCCGTTACAAGATTTTTCTATTGAAATATCACTAACAAGAGATTTTGATAAAACTCATAACATCATAATTCTTTATAAAACATTAATTCAAATTTTTGCATATCTTTAGAGGTATAAAAAGCTGTTTAATATATCCTTTTAAATTCACGGATTTATATTACATGTAGTAATGTAAATCCGTGTTAAAATGTATGATATTATGGTACTTTAAATGTATATATTAATTTAGTTTATAAACATAGTCATATAAATGCAAAAATTAAAAATATAATTAAAAGAATAAAAGTAATTTCCCATCTTTTTATTACCCCCTACGGCGTGTTTATATAACTTCACACCTTCAATGTTTCCCTTCTTTGTGTAACTGGTCAGCATTTTCCGATAATCCTTCTTTATTTAACTGGTCAGCAGTTTCCTATATATTCTATATCGTCAGCTAATTCGTCAGCAGTTTAGTGCGACCCCTTCCATGATCGCACCGTTTGTCGGTGAGTTAGTAAATTCTGACCAAGCACCGGTAGACGCACGACAATGCGATACGATATTATTCCAAATGTCGCTTCGCATTGTCGAGTGTCGCTTCGCGTTGTCGAGTATCGCTTCGCGTTGTCGAGTGTCGCTTCGCATTGTCGAGTGTCCCTTCGCAATGTTGAGCGTCGCGGTGTGAAAATCATAAAAATAACGCGACATTTACTCGACATTTTAAAAATGTCGCTTCGCGATGTCGAGTGTCACTTCGCATTGTCGAGCGTCGTATCGCATTGTCGCGTTGTCGTTTCGCATTGTCGAGTGTCGTGGTATGCACTTCTACCAACCTCGACACTCGACAATGCGAAGTGACAATGCGACAACGCGAAGTGACATCGCGACAACGCGAAGTGACATCGCGACAACGCGAAGCGACGCTCGACAATGCGAAGCGACACTCGACAACGCGAAGCGACATTTCTTAAATGTCGCCCTTTTTTACCGCGACATTTCTAGGCGACAGTGCGACATATCGTTTGACACTGTCGAGCGTCGCTTCGCATTGTCGCATATCGCTTCGCGTTGTCGAGCGTCGCTTCGCATTGTCGCGATGTCACTTCGCATTGTCGTGTGTCTACCCTTAGACGCGACGGACGACATTCTAAATGGCACGATAAGGACACCGTAGTAAACCGTATGTCAAAGTACTACCGACGATGTATTATATAGAAATATACTTAACAAAAATGTGTATGCCGGATCTCGACAACCAGACATTGCAGGAACGGTCTCTTGTTCTTGTTAATAAAGGAGTCTTTTTATGGAATATTGCTTAAACTGTTAAGGTTCATTCATAGTAACATATGATGTGTTAACAGCTGAACTCCTTATCAGTCCCATTGTGTCTTTAGGATAAAATAGGCTTCGGATTAACATTTGACAAGTTCCTTTATAATGCAATCCTTTTACAGACGACAATGTATTCTGAGCAAACCCTTAGACGTTCTACAGAACAAACAAAAGATGGCACCTAACAGTTTCCAAGGATAATATCAAACTCAAAGTGTTATGAACGGGTAACAATTACCAAGAAGCCAGGCTCTGACATATAACGATTGTTAAATACTTGATTACGCATGTATTTTGATAAGCAGTGGTAGGTCATTTCGAAAAAGGCATTCGAAGATTAAGCTCTTAAAACATTGTTTTCTTTAAAAAACATCGCACAAGGTATGCAAATATAACTGTATACTAACTTTAATCTTTGTGGTGCGTATGTTACATCTATAATGCCGTATTGTTCTGAACTGTCAGGGGAATTTTCCCCTGAAATGCTAGAAATATCTTAAAGTAACCTTTGATGTGAAAATGAATACATAGAGTTGCGCATATTAGGGTGAAAGAGAACGGTGTCCTTAATTTTTAAATCAGAAACGTTAAATTAGTCAAAAGTTAAAACTATATTATATTATAAGGTATAATACCCCTAATGGGTACTAAAATGAACTGTAAAAACTGACAACGTAGGACTGTTATATGCCTTAAAAGGCACCTCTATACAAACTTTAAACAAAATTTACAGTGTGGTTTATGAGTAATGCATATTTTCTAATCCAAGCTTTGCTCTTACAGGGGCTCTATTTCAGAAATGAGGAAACTCTTAATAATCTATAATATTATCCATATGAAAAATGTTTTCCCACTAGTATTTGATAAGAAACAAATAGTAACATTCAGCTTACAATCAAGATAAGCAAAACGATTGTTTCTACTCAAAATTTATGAAATACGTATGAAAATGATACACTACCCCAACTATTTTAACACTTGTTTGATCATTTTCTTAGAGAGCCTAATTTAAAAAAAAACCATAAAGTTAACCAAAATGAGTGCCTGTTTTCAAAGTTTCCCTACATTTTCTCAAAAAATATATTGGTTGATCTTGTAAAATATTAAATACTTTTATCGTTTATTTTAGTTGTATGACACTTTGAAAATATCAGGTACCATATTTGTTATTATAAAATATTATTGTAAAGTTTCACGACACTAGATCATATACTTTTTGAGATATGTGCCACACAAGTTAAAAATTGTAAATCAAGTCAAGGGCAATAAAACTACTAAATAAATCCACATGAAAATACCCAGGTGCATAACTACACATGCTGATCAACATTCCTGTAAAGTTTCATAACACTAGGCCAAATACTTTTTGTAATACCGATGCGTTTTGTCCGAATGCGAAACATAGAGCAGGATCGCTTTAGAATTTTGATAAACTAGATAAATTGTGTTTGTGTACCAAAGACGATATTAAGGGCAAATTTTATTGTATGGTATATTACTTACGAAAATATATATTCCGTCCTGTTTCAGAAATTTACCTAATATGTTTATTTAAAAACTAATATCAGTCTTAGGCAGCACACCACACTAATAGAAGCCACAGCTTCGAATGGTCAGGGAAGATTTCTTGGGTATAGTGACTATTGTGGGTTTTAAAGTTTTTGGGTTTTTTTAGGTTGTCTTTAAAGTGCATTTTCAGCATGAAATTTGTTTTTGTGACATCTAATATGATCATTGGAAAATTCAAAAACATGGTTAGAAATTACATGCTGTTGCATGTAATAATAAATGTCAAGGTCGCCATGTTTTGTACACGTTGCTTTTAAACAGCATGCTCGGTGAAAACAAGTAATTTTACAGGGGTTACAAACTTTCAGCAATAGCAAAACGTCTACAAGGCTAAGCACCAATTTTTTTGTGATAGTTTGCATGTATAGGGAGTTGCTAAAGTAGTGACAGAGTTTCTGTAGCCCGTATATTTGCGGGTATTTTTTGCCAGAGGGACAAAATATGTTGTTTTGGGTCTCAGACCACTGTAGATTTTTGGCTTTTACGAAATGAATTGGATTTTTTTAACCGCCTTTTTTAACTGTTGCACATGGGATGATTTCATTATAGATTTGCAATGTTATGAAATAATTATATGTTCTTGACAAAATGTGTTTTCTTTTTTTAGGTTGTGTAGTTTGGGATCATATTTATCCGACATATTGCTTGTAGGACATTTACGGCAGAAACTTGAAATTTAGAGTGGGTTGCAACCTTAGCGGTATTTATCGGCTATTCAACACCGGCTTGGAGTTTTGATGCGTATGAATTGACCACAAAGGCCGTAGGCATTTGTGGGTAATGTTTTCTCATCAAAACGACAATACCGGTGTTAAATAGCCATTAAACTACGTTAAGACCGATATTATTTCGATTCTAACAAGATAAAATAAGGGCGATCACTAATTTTTTTTTTTCAAGCGGAAATAATTTCCGGTGCCGATTTTGGTATAACGCTGTTCGTTTTTCGCACCCTACTATTGCTTGTGAATGAGTAAAAACAGTAAACTGTTAATACATTGAATAGACATAAAATAGTGAACAAAATTGTTCGTATCATGCGAGTGACACAATATACTTTTCAACATATGGTAAATTATTGATGCATGGGACATGAATATATATTAGTGTTGAAAATTTGTCCTATGGTATATTAGGTATACTTTGTAGAAGGTATTCCTTTATTGTTCTTCAGTGTTACAAATTGACGATAAAATTTAATTTTATTTCTTAGCCAAGTGCTACAAAAAAGAAGACAAAATATATATTATGATTACATTTTTAATCGCTCCTACACATTTAAGGCTGAAAAGATGTTATCAAACGTTGTAAACATAGCCCCGATATAACAAATTCTTTATTTGTTTTACATACCTAATATGTACAGACAATTACATTTGGTAGATAATCCTGCAGAAGCCAATGTGTAAACTCCAGCATTGCTTTGTTGAACATTAGCCAGTGTAACAACAACATTTCCTGCAGTATCTCCTGTTATACTGACACCTGGTAACGCATCAGTTGTTGAGGTCTTGTCTGGATTGTATGTTATACGAGCCTTGATACTATCATCATAAAAATTTATATCAAATAGTCTAGGTGAATTTAGATTTGAAAAGTCAGCAGAAAACCGAAGAACAACATCAGAGTTTTCACGACTGTACACTTTTCTGATTGGTGATGCACATGGCCATGATTTAACTATAAATAATAAAATTCAAAATTAAGACTGGTTAAAATCTTATCATTACCTTGAAAGAATAAGCATTCATCATACATATTTTACTTAAAGGGACTCCACTGAGGTTTGAAAGCCTAAAATCATAACATTTGAATTTTTTACATAAATGAGCTGGGGCACGTTAAACAGAAATATATGCAAAGATAGTTAAGAAATATATTTTATACCCTGATTTGGGTGAAAAGTGTTTAAACGCTTTTCATTTTGGTCATTTTTTACAATTTGATTAATTATTCAGGAAAAACGAAGTGCGCGAATGATCTGAAAATTTGCACAAAGTTTAGTGGTCTACACCTACATTAAATTGTACATTTATCTGGAAAAAATATTTTCAGTCCCATCATGTCAAAAAACCTCAGTGGAGTCCCTTTAAAATACAGCTGTTTTAGATGTTGACATACATGTTCATACAACGTTTATCCTCAGCGAACGGTGTATATTTCGCCGTTCGTAAAGAGGTATTCATTGAATAAAGCTGAAAATCAACAAAATAATTTAAATTGTACTGACCTAAAAAAGTGCAATGTAAATAACTCTGGTCAGGTGAATGATTTGGTTTTCGAATAATTGTTTGTTGTATGATCAACAAGGAATTTTCAATAATTTTACTTTAATTTAAAATGCAATGAGAGGTATTTTCATTGCTATTTTTAGGTTGATAAGTACAGAGCGATATTTTATAACCACCACTTCCCCATAAGTGCATTGTATAATTGTTTATTACATGATATTACGTAGTCTGACCATGTCTCGTACTACTGCCAAAGAATAACATTATTTTCCTTTAAGTTATAATTTTGTATTAAAGTTATATAGTTATAGTTATTTTACACATGGATTAAAGAGTCTTTAGGAATCGGTTAATTTAAATCTTATTATACCTGTATATGACACAGTGACCTAGCTATCCCGAACACCCGCTAGTCATACCTTAATATTGTGGACTATGAAGTAGATCATGCAAGGGAGACAACAAGGTATATTGAATTTGAGAAAAGACTTGTATGATTTGTATCCCTTTTATCAGTACTTAAATGAATTATTCATTTTATACATCTACAAGTGTAGATAATCAAATTTACATCTGGAAAATGTAATCCTTTTAGAGTATAGATCGAAAACTTTATTCAAATATTACTGTTCTGTTTTCATCACAAGTCATATAACAGCAGGTTACGAGCAGGTTTTTGTTGTTGTTTTTTTTATAACTTATTTGTTGTACATAATTCAACACACATGATCAAGTTAATGATTTAACGTAGAGAGATTCTCAGTGTGTTTGTGGACAGAAGTATGCAAACCGGGTCCCTAGTAAATCCAAGTAATCTTCATAAGTCAATTAAAGATTAGAATGCACGTCTAATTTCATACGTAAATGTGCTTGCCTTACTATAAACTAGCCAAGATGTTGTGATATTTTAAAGTTCAATCATGTCAGAAATGTTTCTTATGAGTAAATACATGTTTATGAAGATATTCAAATGGATAAAATATTTTGTATGGTGTAAAACATCTCCTACTGCCCGAACTGTTGAAAATAATGTTTCGTTAATATTTTTTAATTGTTGCCATTCAAACAGTAGATCTGTGACTTGAGTCATACTTCACTTTACATTGGGACCACGCCCACGCTGGTAAATCTGTTTTCATATAATAGGACTTTGCCACCAGGACAAGCCTTATAACATTTTTTAAATTTGTGTGACTATAGTATTGGAGGGCTCAGCCCTACTGATGATTTTTGTTAGCAGTCAACCTTATGTGGGCTGCATACCATATTATGATGACCTGTCTGTCTGTTGTCGAGTACTCATTGTATAATATTATAATTTCTTGTAATTTCTTTGGTATCGACTGACTACCGATGAATTTCAGTGAGACCAAAAATAAAAGAAAAAACGTTAACATGATTGTTTTCATTTATTCAGCACTTTGCTTTTCTTATGGCTCTTTTGTAAATGCGTATGACTCGTTGGATATCCTATGAATTTTCCAAAATTTGATTGATGGAATTACTACAGCGGAAGTTTCTTTGTCCGAGTCTAGGTCCTTAGAGCAATTCGTTTATATTGTACTTATATCAAATTTCCCCGTCCCGTGTTCATACTTGACATTTACTTCGTAAAATTAGCGGACTATCTGCAATGTGTTCCCAAGTCCCCAAGCTAATGATTAGTTCACACATTTGAAGAAGGGGCTTTTCTTATAACTCTAAAGTTATAATGGGTAACTTAGCTATTATAATAAGCCAGATACATATTTGTTGTTCTTCTCGGAACGGAGACATCAATATGTGTTGGTTTTGTCCCTCTCAAACTGTCTCTATTTTAATACAATGTATAACAGTTTTTTCAGCTTAAATGTTCTTCAAAATATTAATATAAACCACAATTTAAATATATATCATAGCAGTGAGCATTTTTTATTTCAGCTCACCGTCTTTTCAAAAGAAATACTACATCTTACAGATGTACAAATCATCACAAATAACTTATCAATGCACAGTAATACATAAAGTGCCACCGTCGCTACGCCCGTCGCTACCACAATCATTTATATCATAATATTTCCAAAATGATAGTAAACTTTATTTATCAACATGTAACACAAGATTTGATACAAAGCGTATTAGATGACATTCATGCATATATAAGCAAATAGACGAACGTTTATTATACATGTATAGAACAGTCCAAAGGACTTACCAGAAATGATAGTTCCCATTATAGTTAAAGCAGATATCAACATTTTGAACGCTTTTTTACTGTTTAATTCAAACATGTCTAACGCAAGAATGAAGTGAGTATATCATCACTATCATAACATTTTACTTCGCGAATGAGGAAGTACTAGACCGGATATGTTTTATGATTTACGGATATAATGTAAGCACGTTTTTATCAGTAGTGTAACTCCTTATCGATACTATTAACATTTAAACATTTATTAACAGTGTCCCCTTTCCTTAGTCACATGATCAAATGTGTACAATTGCAATCCTCTTGAATTTCATTCAGTGCCACTTGGGAAAAGGTTGATATTCATAACATTTGAAGGCAAAGTCTGAAAGTCAAAAAATATGTAATGAGAAAGCCGAGTAAATGTAAATTAATTTATCTTTAGTTATAAAGTACAAATAGCAGATGTTGTAAATATTAATGTTAACACCAAATACATATGTTCATATAAACACTAAAACAAACATTGTTCAAAACAGAAAGAAATAAACACAAGTATTTTCCTTAAAATAATATGATCATTCAACATGTTAAGCATTTTCGCATTTTACTTTTGAACCACCACATTTTCTCTTTTATTTGTTTTTATTTGGTTTTACATCACACCGACACAGTATAGGTCATATGGTGATGTTACAGCTTTACTGGGTGGGTTACTACTCTTCCGTGCATTATTTCAGGAACAAACCCATACGCCGAAGTAGAACCAATAACATTCCATAAGCTAGCTTGAAATAGCTTCCCTTACATGAGAGAAATTCAAAGTCCCTGTCGGGACTCGAACCCACAGCGGTAAGGGGGCAAGTGGTTTGAAGACAACAACATTAACCACTCGGCCACGGACACTCATACCACATTCTCTTGTTACAGAGGAAATTATCTGAGAGGACATCTTACTTCAAAAAAAAAATTAACGACATACCTGCTTCACTTTTACCTCCCCAGTTCCCACAGTACAAATGACCTGCTGGTAAAAACCTCCTTTAAATTTGCTGGTATATCATTTCCCCCACCATTCTTGAAAAGAAGTTGCCGTCACATATGTAGGACCTTGCATTGTACACAACACATTCTTTTACCTGTTGTTTAAAATTCAAAAGTTAAATATCATTATCATTATGCAAAGAATTTTTTAAATTTGTAAGAGAATTGTTCACCTTGAACTTCAAAATGCAGATGTATATGTAGGTCACATTAGGTCTAAAAACATTAGGGATAATGGGGCTTTGACGACTTTTTATCTTTTTAATGGTCTCTGTAAGTAATAGTGCAATGCCAATCATGCATCATTTAATTTGGACCAAATATGAATGCAATGAGTATTGAATATAATACTTATATTGAGTGTTTGAGTAATGAGCAACAGTATTTGCACAACAATGCCAGTAAATTGTTCATACAAGTTAACTGATTTTTCCAAAAATGACAAGCTATAGATATGCAGAACATACCATATAAGTGTATATATAATTAGTTATAAAGATCGTTGACAGGTTATATGGCCCTATATAAACGGCTATTTGTAAAATAACCCAAGCCGTTAGGCGAGGGTTATATAGCAAACAGCCGTTTATAAACGGCCATATAACCTGTCAACAATCTTTATAACAAATTTATATTACAGCTAGTCCAACTAATTAGACTTGTCAAAGAGACACCGAGATAATTTTGGACGGGCGCTGTCTTATTTCCAAGTCGTAACGGTTTGACAGTAAGAAAAAAAAAGTCCGTAAAATGGGTCAAACCGTTCATGCCGAATTAATTAGGCTATATTACAGCAAGCATCATGTTTAAAGAAAAAAATAAAGTAAGATTTCTGCAAGAATCAACAGCAGCCGTGTATATAAAACTATATAAACGTCACGATTATCCAAAGAAAAATGACGTTATAAACGTGCAGTATTGTAAGTATACATATAAGATGCATATATGGCATGAAGGACCAGAACCAGGGTTTCAGGTTCGATTTCATGTGTACCGAAATTCATTATCATATCTTTTACAACCAAGGCAGCATCTATTATAGTCATTCAATAGATTTACAGACAGTTCACCACTCTGACACTTCATCCTAAGCCATTTTTTGCAGACACCCCAACCTTTTTTGTTGGAATTTAATACATACACCATGGAGCAGCACTACCAAATCACAAATGAACTAGTTATTTAGTTTGCTCATTGCTAGGCCTAATATAATATGACCTACATGTAATATTCTCACAGATAACGCAATTGTATTTTGTCTGGGACTAAAAATACAGTTAAGTTCCAGATTTTTTATAAAACTTCAAAATAATCGTCGTACCCAATCCCACTACTTTGGTTCATTTTTAATTAAATTAAAAGCAAATTACAAATAAGAGAAATTAATGGATACTCACTTCCCCATGTGTGGTTATTTTTAGAAAAAAAAAACTTCTCTCTTCCTAATGTGTAATAATTAAGAAACTTCTGAACTAGAATGTTTTTAACAATTCCCTAACACTTGTTGTTGTTGTTGTTATTTATAAAATGTAAAAACTTCTGGAAGGAGGTGACCATTTGCCATTGAAACCAAATGGAAACATTTTACAAATCCCGCCTCTTTGGAATAAGATATTAATGAAGCCTAACGACGGAAAATTTGTTCAATTCAGTTCAATTCCTGGTCACTTCACCGGTATTGTATCTATTTTTAGTAACTTTCCGGCCGAATGAAAACTTTCATTCGGCCAGAAAGTTACTAAAAATAGATACAATACCGGCGTAAAAAAATCCGATGAAGTGCATATTAGAACAGAACAGAACAGTTTTCCGTCAGAAGCAAAGAGTGATTCGGCGTAGTGGTTTAATCGATTTTACGGTAGTTTATCTTATGGCGGATTTTCTAAGGGCGGTATAGCGGAGTAAGTGGTTTACTTTACATTGTAACGGCGGGTCAATTCGGCGTTAATTAATTGAAAATTAACAGCGGATTATGGATATATCTAACGGCGGGGCGGGTATTTATAACGCCGGGGCGGGTATTTAAACGACAGATTTTCTGTCAGTTTCATTTTAACAGCGGAATCTTTCGGCCGGACAAGTATACCGGCGAAATAGATAGCTTATGGCGGAGCGGGTATTTCTAACGGCGGATTTCCGTCATTAGAAATTTACATTGAATTATATAGTAACGGCGGAAGGGTCTCATACCGCTTTCCATAAACATCACCTTTTATTTCATTCACATTTTACTATTTTCACATATGCCTTTTGCCGATCGACACAAATGATTTTATTATCCACGATGGCGGTCAATTTAAAACTTCAACATCAATATTCATAACGCAACAGGCGAAATAATCAACAAAATTATCGCCAAATTGGTTCCCAGCTTTGCCGTTTTCAAATGAGCAGCACTAAGAACCCGTCTGTCTATAATCAAAGGCATTCGGTAATATGTTGATTCTTTCATCATTCCTGATAAAACACTATTGCACTTTTAATCAATATTACAAGTGGTGGATATTTGTATATGTACACGTAACAGCGCAATGTGCAACTCCCTGAACAGATAATTTATGAACCCTGTACGAGGTTAAGCCTGTACACAATAGAGAACTCCTGTAATGTTATGTATTTTGCCATAAACACAAAATGTTGAGAACAGAGGCTGGATTTCATCAGGTAATCAATAACTGACAAGATTATGTTGTTTTTTTTTTTGTTATCTTTTCTTTTTTATTGAATCATATTTATTCGTATATAATATTATGAATGCATTGCCTTGAATAAAAATTCTAGTGTAATATTTTTGAGAAGCTAAGAATTACATTTATCACAACACACATTCTTTCCAAACACTGTTTTATGAACTTTTTAATAGTAACTTGATATAAAACCTGTTTGATTAAAACAAATTGAAAAAAAAGCAGAACAGTAGATTTGTTTAACACACGAATTAATAAAAGGGGAATTTCAAACATGTAATGCTTTCAATAACATACCTGTTTCATTTTGGTATTAAATTGTTATAAGTATAAAATGACGTTTATCAAACTGATACGTTCATTGTTGAGAGTATACTAGTGTAAACTAGTTGCATAAACAGCGCCCAAAACGTTAGACAAAATTGATGTGTGACATTTAATTGTCTATTATTACATTCTATTTTTATAATCAAAATATTGACTAAGATATTTATTCCAAAGAATAAATAAATGCATGTGTTTAAAATTAATGTGAAATTGAACATAGACATGTGGGAAAATTAAAGTGCCGTAAATAACAAAAACAAAAAAAATTTTTTCTTTTCGTGTAAATTTTTTTTATAATATGAAAATTTTGGGTTTTTAATTTAAATCTAAAAAACCGCCAAAAAAACAAGAAAAAATGCAGTAATTAAAATTAAAAGCAGACTAAATTTGTTGATGGGCCCTTCCCTCAGTTTTTAAAAAAATAATAAAAAAACTGGGAAAGGAAAGTAAAAAACGGAAAGTATGATACATGTAATAATTAGAAACAAATATTTATAATATAAATAGTAGGTACAAGAATGGAAATAAAAATGGATCAATAGTGACTCAGAGTTTAGATGTCTTTAAGACAATATGAATAAATATAATAGACAAACATTCTAATAAAAATGTAACATATTTAATTTCTATGCGGGTTTGACTTTACAAGGTTCGATTGTAGCCGACAAATTGCCTAACACATTATTAGTCTTTAAAGGTAAATAGAGACATTATGACGACATCGATATTGTAAAGCGAAATATAAACCACAACATTTTTTAACGCACATAGTAGAGCCAAGAATCTTCCATAATGTATTTACTATGTTTAGTAGAACCTCTAAACGCATAACAGCCTTTGAAATGAAGCCGGTGAGCGGCGTCGTCTCTAATGGAATGCTTTTTATTTTGGCCTATGAAAGGAGCTGTTATTATTAGCAGTTAATGTTAAGTTGTGTTAATTAGTTTTATTTTGATTCGTAAAAATCAAGTAAACAAATAGGTTGTTATATTTGTATTTAATAACTTCATGTAAAAGGCATATTCATTGTGATATTATTTTCACGAAATTGCAGGCTCAGTTTAACAGCTTGTCCCTTAGCTTTATTGGCAATAC